TTGAGAACCCGCAACGATTTTCGGGCTGTGGGGAAAATCAGGAGATGGAGGTAAGGAAAGCATGGGAAGCTAAATGAAACCCTTCCCAATATCTGGTGTGAGCTAAGAGGAACTACCATAAAGGAAGTAGCAACAGAGAGGGCTGAGGCCTAAAAAAAAAAAAAAAGCATTCTCTGGGAAAAGTGAAAAATCAAACTATTCACTAAATTCTTCACGTTTATGGTTAATACCAATCCTTCTCTCCAGACAGGTGGGGCCTCCCTGGAGTTGCCAGAGTAATTAAAGATAAAAATAGTCAAAGATATATCTGGTCAGTTTTATTTTCCATTTCTCTTGGCATAGCCACTTGGCAGTACTACCCAAAGGGGCTAGTGGAAAAGGATTATCAACGCCATTAATGGGCGTGGGTTTTAGTATCCAGATTGAGGGGACAAGAGACAAAGTTCTTAGGCCCTCCTAAGGAAAGGTGAGTTGGCACTGAAAGCTTTGCATAAAATCTTAAAATATTGTGCCCTCTGATGTACTAGACCAAAAAGATGGGTGTGCTAGCACAGGGGTACAATAAAGAAGTTTATCAGTCTGCCTGAGCTCTGAGTGGAAATAGAAGCATACCCTGGATATTTACCTCAGTAGGGTTTGGGATCTGACTCTATATTACCTGTGTGGTCCAGAAATCTCCAAGCCAAGAAATTAACAGACATTGCCCCTGGGTGCCTGGCAGAAGCAAATGTGAAGTCACAGACTCAGTGAATTCTAGAATATTCCAGGCCATACATGAATCACCAGTGGTGGAGGGGGGAGGTCGGGAATGAAGCCTTTCTACAGAATAAAAACTACAAAATGCCCAAAGAGAGTAAGAGCTAGGAGACACAACAAAATGACAGCGAACCCCTAAATAATCTGTAATAATAGACATCAGTGAAAAGACTTTATAAAATAAGTCGATTTAAAATAATTTAAGACATAAAATAAATGATTGCGATCTTTAAAAAAAACAAAGTGTTTAAAAAAAAAAACAGGCAGCTTTGATAAAAATGAAATAGAGCTTCTAAAAGGAAAAACTATAGTCATTGCAGTTGAGAGCACAATGGGTGTTTTAAACAATTGAAGAGATGATTAGAGAACCAGAAGATAGATGTGAGAAAGTTATCTGAAATGCTGCTTAA